TTAAGCTATTTGCAGAAAGCTCCATTTCTGATGTGAAAAGAGGCCACCCACCTTGAGGACTGTGGGCACTGGCAGACTAATTTCTCAGCAGGAGACTGGAAACGCAGGACTTCACATAACTGTCACCCTCCCCWAAATCAGCCTCTCTGAAATTCTCAGTCTCAGCAGTTGCAGGGATGTAGCAGAGTGACTCCAGGTCTCTGCACTGAACTAACTCCAGTTCCACAGCTAAGGATGGCAGTGACAGTGCCCTGAGACTGCTCGCAAGGTGAGATGGCCTGAGACCAATTCTCTGCAGAGCAGTGCTGTAAAGAGCAGGACTCTRGTAAGAAGAGCAGAACTACCAGAGAAACCAGCAGWTATGGAAAGCCAGCCCCACCAGCASACTCTGGAGAGCCCTTCCCTAGCTTCTTCCCCAGAAGTCTTTTACCAAGTATCCTGGAAAGGGATGGGATGGAGAAAAAGGGGCTAAATGCAGATTTCCTGGCTATTCTTGTTTGCTTTCTCTTCATCTTACTGGCCAGGGGAAAGAGCAAGGGGAGAGATTTTATTCCTGAGCATGTAATTCTGAGATCATTGTTTGGACAGGGTTGGGAAGGCTCTGTCTCAAGGGCTGCATTTACTTGAAGAGATGTGGTGTGATCCAACAGGGAGAGAGAACTGAGCTTGTTCAGCCAAGCCCAGAAGTTTATTACTCTATAAACTATCTCTTCATTAAAATACAATACTTTCTAATAACTACAATACAGCAACACGAGCAGCACACAGAGCACAGTCCCCACGTGGGAGCTGTCTGGGAACATTTGGCAGAGACAATTTAATAACAGCACTGATAATCATGCTACCAATGTCTTTAAAGCCAGCAGTCCTCACCTATAGAGCTGGACATCTCGGGCTGCAACAGGCTGAATTTAATCGGGTTAGCTGCTTAATACACAATAGCCCAATGTTTGCTGCTGAGCTTCACCAAGCTCTGTCCTTTTGTTATCTTTTCTAATCCACATCCTATCCCATGACGCTGCTAGACAGTTATTATCCAATATTATCCAATAATAAAGAGGTAGGGCTGTGCCCCAGTGAGATGTGTCCCCTYTGCTTTGAGAGCTGCATGGGACTGGCCTGGCTCAGTCCCTTTTGCTGGGCCATGCCCTTCAGCAGYTCACCCGTAACACCACCCACTTGATCAGGATTGAAGAAATGAGGGGGAAAAAACAGCTAGATAATCAAGTCTCTTTAGAGAGCAATCCATCGCCACYGCAGATTTAATCCCTCCAGGGAAAAAAAAAAAGAGTCTGAAATCCAAACAGCAGAACTGAAAATACCAACAACTCTAATTTATTGATGGCTTAGTTGATTTAGCCTTCTGCAGGAAGCYCTGCTCCAGTAACTTTGTAAGAGACCTGGAAACAGGCTCCAAAACTAGTAAAGGAATTGACCTAATAACAGCTCTRCACTTTCCTGAGGCTGAGGAGGAAGGGAGCTGAAAGGAATTACACTTTGGGGAAGGACTCTCCTCACCCCATGGGAACAATCCATACTCACCTGGCCCCAGAGCTGGATGAGCCATCAAGATTTTAACCACAAGGCTTCACTRTAAGCCCCACTGTCAGGATTTAAACCAAATGATTTTTCATGACTGGCCCTTTCTCCAGGGAAGCACAGCAGGCAGGCTCCCTGTKGCACCCTTAGGGTGCCTGTGTTCCATCTCCCAAGGCAGTTAAGGTACCTGCAAAAGGCTGACAAAGCATCCTGAGGAGCTTCTGCGTTGGGAAAGGGATGAGAACTTGGGTAGGCAAAGGCTGACACACCTGCCAGCTCCTGGAGAACAGAGATCTCTAAGCAAGGATAAGGCCAGCAGTTCAAGCACCAACTGCTGCACTGAATTTAACCATTGGCACTCACCCATGCCAAGTGACAATCAGCTCTGCAGCCAAGTGTGTAAGCTGCTGCTCTTCAGAAGACTGGCAACAGCTCGATTCCTCTGGAAGGCWTCTCTGCCACCAGCCCCACTCCACCTGGAGACACAGATCCACCCTCTGTGCTCCTATCAGTCCTGGCAGGGAAGTGCCTTGCCATGCCAGCCTTCTTTCCAGATGAGCTGTCCGTGATCAACAGGCCCAGACAAGGAGAGCCCATCTGTCTGGGCTCTCTAGCAGTACAGTGCTTGGGCTTGCAAGCTCCTCCTTCAACTTTCTCTTTTCAGAGGCTTCAGAGGTGCCTATCCTGGCTTAGTCCCTGATCCTGGGAGGATGCCAGATGAAGGGTTGATCCCTGGAACACCTTCACATTCTTTGAACTGGCCCATTTTTAATTTAGAGCTCAGATCCCAGTGTTTAAGCCTATTTTTCAGAGGGAGAATGAATTTTTTTTTATCTGTGAGGTGTGGAAAGAGGCTGCTGTAGGCTTTGATAGTCGATGTGCTGCTTGTGATGAGCACAAGGCTCTAGAAGAGGCTGGTGACATTTGATTATCACTTAGATCAGGAGAAAAAGAGGGAAAGCAACTTTCAAAGGCAAGGCTGACACTGTTACAAACACCAGCAGAAATGACCTTCACACACAGCTAGCTCTCTCTGCTGCCAAGAACCATCCTCTCAGCCGCTATCATCTGAATCACCAGTACACCTGGGGCAGTGCTGCTTTACATCAGCCTCTGCTGCTCTAAAATCCAGGGACTTTTCACTGGGTTGGGGAAAAGGGTGTGTGGTGGGCCCTGCAGTAGACACATTGCAAAGCCAGTATTGACCTCCTAAGCTCAAGGAGGCTTCAGTTTTCCAAATCATGATGCAAAGGAAGGGTCAGCTTCCCATCCACACCAAGCCACTGGGCTCAGGTAAGCTGAATTAGCCACTATCCACACGGGAAGATTTTTTCCCTCAGCACAACAAACAGGTAGGGTGGAAGCTCCAATGCTGCTCTGCTGCTCAGAGTGCTTTGCAGGAGAATTGCCCTCAGCACCACATGGCTGAAAACAACTCAAGGAAGGTGAAGGAAGGCACAGGTTATAACAGGACAAAGAGTGCACATCTGGCCACTGGCACACAGGCAGGAAAAGTCCAGAAGACCACAAAAGACTATTTAGGACCATTCTTTAGGATCTAAGCTCTCTAAGCACCAGCCTGTATTTTAACTCCCAGCCTTGCTTTTGGAGGAGGGGACAGCAGCAATGTGAGGACATGGGAGAAGCCAGTTTGACAAATCTCAGCAGTATGGGATTGATCCTTACCCCGGGATCTGCAGCAAGAGCTTTTCTCTGCTCCCTGCATCACATGGCTTTTTGATAAATCGTCTTTCCCAATAAATCTATCTCTCATTGTACACATACGGAATCCGTTCCTCTAAGTAGCCACCGAGGTGCTGTCAGGGTCATTAACTATCATTATCTGGGGCAGCTGTTCCCCAGCGTGCTGACGCAGGAATCAATCAGGCTAAAGCATGAATTTCCCCTACACTTCTCCAAACACTGCCTTTATCCCTCTCCATCAAGAGATGAAAAAGAGGAACAGTTCTGCCATCACRCCAAGGTTTAGCAATCCTCGTATTGGAAGGAGCTGGCTAAAGGGAAACTAACGGCAGATGAGGCAGGCGTCAGGCTGTCACAGAGACAGGATGAGGTCTGACTGATGTCTTTACCAGGAAAGAGGAGGCAGGGTGATTTGAAACAGGCCAGTCAGCTGAGCAGAGATCACTTATTAAAAAAAAAAAAAAAAAGAAAAAAAAACCCTGCAAAACTTCCTCATTTCCTTTAGTACCCCTTAATGAGATAACCTCTTTCTCTGAAGAATGGGGGGGCTTTCAAACCTTTCATGTGCTCAGACAACAAAGGAGAAAAACAGGCATTCAGGATTTTCACACCACCCAAAGTCAGGATTTATTAACTCAAAGTGTTCAACATCTGAGACTTGAGAGCTTAAAATCCAACTTAATTTTCCTGGGTGTCAACTGCTTAACCCCATCTCAGGAATTCTCTAGAACAGAGGATCTCTATTCCTCTGCAGTGATTGCCAGCCATTTTCACAGAGGATGAATTCACAGAGCAGGGACAATACCCAGCTGCAGTCAGGTCAAGAGCATKTGTGTAATGGGAAATAGTTAGAGAAACAGCTTTTCTTCTTATTCCAGTGATAGATATAAACAGAGATAATTCTGTACTTGAGTGGCCTGGATTCACACACCAGGAGACTGTTAACCTGCAGAAATGCTGGTTGTTAACCTGCAGAAATGCTCTTTATTAGCCCTGAGTATCACTCACTCTATCTAGATTACACAAAAATAGACAAACCTGAACATAAACCTCCACAACCCACACACACCTCTCAGCCTTTAAGGGCATGTACGCACACGAGCCAGACATGAGGCAGCTGCATCTTTGAATGACAAAGACATTGAAAAAAAAAAAAGGAGCAATGTCTTATTTCCCTTAAGGGAATGATCTGTCTTCCCAGAAGTTCTTGGCAGTATTTTGGAAGGAACTCATGGCACCAGGACTTCCCAAGGACAAAACACATTGGTTTGGGGGTTTCCAATGCACCACATCCTACCGTAAAGGAAGATCCAGGAAAATAAACGGAAGCAAATGATARAAGAAAAGTCTGACAGAAATGCCTTTTGTTTTCAGGTCAAAACAAAGGTTGATCAAAGTCTGTTGTCCACATGCTGTGAGAATGAGAAACTTCCAACTGGTGGGTATCACAGCCAGCACACAGACAAAAAACTTTTCCAAACATCTTCTGYCCCTCACACAAAGCAGACTAAAATTTCATTTACCAGCCATGTCTGATTGCAATTTTTGTTTTAATCAGAAAATTCACCCTAGACTAAAACCCTTCTCCTCAAAGATTTATTAGGCCTACGCAATTGTCCTTAAAGAAAAACCTCAAAGAGGTTGTTTTGACAAGCATTTACTTCCAAACAAGAAGATCTTGCCAAAGAGAAGCGTCAGTGGCRTGACTCAGGTTCCATCAATGGTAAAGAGGTAGCCGAGCTTCTGCCAAGACTCACCTATCCATCTCATGAGGGACGTCATGATTTGAAGATACTTGGTCTTCTGCACATTGAAGAAGGTGAAAGGACCCAGGAGGAGCGTGAATGCTGCCTGGAAGGACAACAAAATCACACATTACGTTAAAAGCCAGAAATTCTGCCAGCAAGATGAATCTATCAGTAGAACAAAGCTTAAATTGAAAATTCACCTCCAGACATGTCATGAAGCTTTCTTTGTTGCTTAATTTTACAGCCAAGTTGGCTGAGACACAGGGGGTCAAGTAAGCTGTTGGGTATCAGAGAACATGCCTCGGGCAGAAGTAGAGCTCAGGATCCTCTTGGCTCTCAGCTATCACTGCTATAGCACTCCTTTACTGACACATTTCAGTAAAAGCTCTCAGTGCAGCCTTACAGAACATTAAATATTAAACTGTGGCCTCTTTGCCCGAGTACATACTCAGTTTAGGTCTGAATAGCAATAGCCCTGACCAGTCTGTTTCCATTAACATTGATGGGGTGGCTTCGGGGTAGCCCAGGCTCAACAGCAGTGGAGCYACACCTGCCTGAAGCTTTTTCCCCCAGGTTTTATGTTGCTTGTGTAAAACATAGTTTTTTTAATATATGTAAAAACAGCAAGTGGGAAGCCACAGCGTAAGTTTAGCTCTTGTTAGCTGAAAACCTGTGCAAAGTGAGGAAAAAAATTATSAAAGAAAGAACTCAATTCAGTGTGGAAAGTAAAGGTTCTTTAAAGAAGAACCTTTTCCCACTGCCCTCTTGGATGTCTATTAAGACACCAGTGTTTCATGGAATCACAGAACAGTTTGGGTTGGAAGGGACCTTGAAAACCAYCTTGTTCCAACGYCCTGCCATGGGCAGAGACCTTCCACTAGACCAGGCTGTTCAAAGCCCTGTCCAACCTGGCCTTGAACACTTCCAGAGAYGGGCCAAATTAAATTGGGSTAYACTGCAGCACCAATCTGTTGCATCTCTTCCAGCTGGGCTGCAAAATACATCCAACAAAGATCYWTCCCAGAAATCTGGACTACACAGTTTTCCATGGGAGTTTTTTGTATCACTCTGCTAGAGCACACAAGGCAGCCATGCTGTCAGCCTGTGCCCAGAGGTGACATGCCCTATTGCAGCACTGTCACCTCTGCTCAGCCACCAAGCAGCACTCAAGTCCTACCTACCCCAGACAGAAGAGAAAAGGCTTCACTATAGGAAGAAGCAGACCTTGGCTGCAGTCTGAACATGGATTGAAGGCAGCTACTTGTGACAGGGAGACAAAATCAGTGTTACAGAAGAGAGCCCTGGCTGTCCTCCATGGGATGGCACCGGCTAGCGAATACACTAACAGGTAAGCTGTAAGCAGGCAGTGCTTAGAAAGCCACAGCACACACAGTATAGGTTTGTAGAGCATCCCAAAGAGATTTTTAAAGACAAATATTCAACATTAATATTTACACGTTGCTCTTTTCCATGACTTCTTAAAGCAGTTCAAGAAAAGGTGTCGGCAGAAGCAATGAACTGGGACTCAAAGGGGCAGGTCTGCCGAGCCTCAAGGTCTCTGTCGACCCCAACAGAGTCAGGACAGAACAGAATCCAAGCTATTTTAAGACTAGCACAACCCCWAGAAACCTTTTTTGAGACAGTTTCAGAATATCTGCAAGGCAAATTGGAAATGCCTYGCATCACAAGTATTCTCAGGTGACRAAAGTWAACCCAGAAGGGGAGCAGGGGAGAGAACCCTTGGTTTGACACATTGCTCAGTGGGGACATATTCTGATCTGAGGCCATCGCTTACACCAAGTCTTGCTTATTCTGCTCAGATAAAAAAAAAAAGGACAGGAAACATGCACAGAATTCAGATTTGTGAAGCAATTGATGGTTGTTGGAGGTAACACTGAAATCACACAGAATACAATGCCACAGGCRTAACTGGCAAGATTAAGAGCCAAACCAGCTTTAACAGTTATGGGACTTGAGGTTTTAACTAGAAGCAAACCAGCCAGTTACAAACCTTTTCACTCTTCTCCCTCTTCTTCCTTTTTTCTAATTGGGAGCTTAACTCCACTCTCCTTCCTACGGGGGACAGCCACTCCATCCTAAGACAGTGCACAAACCCCAAAGGACTAAACAAACCTTTGACTAAAAAGTGATATAGGGCACGAGCTCAGAGCAAACACAGAAGTAGACACCAACTCTCTTACTGAAAATTATTCTTGAGTTTGTGACTAATCTGTTTCAACYTCCTCTCCCAACAATGCTCAACACAGCCTCCCTTCAAATCAGTTTATAGCTCCTGCGTCAGAAAGCRCTGAAATACAGAGAGACGGACCAAGGATGGTGATAATTAAGGAACAGGTGTCTGCTGCAAATGAGAATGCTCCAGAACCAATTGGCAAAACAGCCCCTCAGACCATGGTAAGGATTGAGACAAAATCACCAAGCACTGAAGCAGATGTGTCAGAAAACCAGATTTGCCTCACCCACTGAGRCAAAGAGCTGTGTTAAGGTGGATTTGGGGCTCAGTTGCTGAAAAGCATCAAAAAGCATCCTTAGGTGCTGGGAACCTGGGTGTCCTTCACCTTTTGCAGTTATTCTCCAGCACTCAGAGCACTTCAAACAACTAAATCCATTCAGCAAGGTTTTCAACTCTCCTYCTATCTGGCTTTTACTGCTCAGCTCATGGCGAAGAGACACAAGATGTGCCTGARTGGTTGAATGCTCCCCCATCCTCTAGGATGACTGGTGTCTTCTGTTCTTAACAAGATCCTGGTCCAAAGGAACCAAGCGAGAGATTAATTCTAGTGCAATAGAAATTTATTACCTTTTCTACTTCACACCCWTTAGAGATCCAGCATGGATATCCATGGATCAATACAAACAATGCTAAGGCCTGCAATGAGATGAGGATGCCCTGCTTTGTAGGGATTTGTGCCAACCACTTTTAGGAAGAGAAGMTACAGAATACTCTGGACTGCTTTGGAGGAGAGAGGCTGGGCAGAACAGGATATTAAACAGCCACATTAAATTCATTTTGAAGTGAAATTGTGTACAGCTCAACAGGATTGAGTACGGGGCAGGAAAAAGTTCATCACCAACAGCCAGGATATGAGGACAAGGACTCAGCCCCTGGATTAGAACTAATCTCACATCAACCATCAGAAGAATCCCAAGGCCAGGARCCCTGTTTAAAAACACATCCCCAAAAGGATGAGAAGAGACCACAGTGCTTAGCAGRAGGATGTCTACTTCCTCTACCTCGCTGTGCCAGACACCTCAGTGCTCTTCCAACCCATTAAGTTAATTAGTTTCATAACTCTTCCCTAAGGAAAAAGTAAGCCCAAATAAGCACCTCAGACATATACCCAAACTTTCTACCCGATGTTTTCCAAGCTCAAGTCTCTCCCAGAGGGAAATAATTCACAAAGTGCTTCATTACACATGTAATTCAAACAATCTAAAACCTACACAGGAAACTGTACCAGTCAGCCCTGTCAGGAATCAAATATGCAGAGCCCCAGCACAYGAAAAAAACCCTCTCAAGTTTTCCAGTTCACCTCTTGAGCTAGCTGAGATATTTTCTAGGAGTTTATCATTCTCTTCCTAAGCTTSAGCAAATTAACCCACCCAAGGCAGAATGGGCATAATCTACTTTGATTAAGATTTTTCTGCTAGTGAAGWGGTTTCTTGTTAGAAACAAGCAGGCATATGGGGGTGATTCATTGCTAAACTGAAACAAGGTAAAGGAATGCTTCCTTCAGCTAAGGAGGAGAACTGAATCTATTAAACGCTGTTTAAATTCACAGGATGGTAGAGAGAAACCTTTACAGTGCTTTTGCACAGGGCTGGCTATTAAGAATGATTCCCTCATTTTCCTCCAAGCTCCTCCATTAAATGAGAAAGGCCAGGTAAATCACCAAGCTCATAGTGGAGGGTACAYGGAACCCACACACAGCAAATAAGTGCAAAATTCTTTATTCTTCCTTCCTTTCTCACGCTGAAAAAACAGCATGAAAATCCAGCTCAGTAATGACAGAAAAAGACTGTGCTTTTGTTGCTTTTACTGACATTTCCAGTCAAAAAATGAGAAACCAGTGAGGCTGGAAGAAAGAACAGCAGCTTGTCACCCTGAATTACACTCTTCCCTGCAGGCTAGTARAAGCCATGAGCAGCACACCAGCTTGCTCAACCCCTGGGAGGGTCTTCAAATCCATTCCTCCCACCAAGCCGAGCCACAGCAGTACAGGCACCAAGGTTTGGGATCTTCCCTGAGCTGGCAACTCAGCTGACACCACTTTCCCAGCCTCTGCACCTGTCAGCTCTCAGTATTTCAAAATGAAAAAGCAGGCTGGTCAACTCGAGTCTTCTTGCCACGGGGGAACTAGCTAGGGCTTACCGTTGCCTGGAATATATTTATATATATATATTTATATATTTCTAAAAGTATATTTTATTAAAGCTCTTATGTTAAAACTTGGTTATGTAACCTTGTTTATTGGCTTATCTTRTAAAAGCAAGAGTAATATCAAGCGTTAATAGGACATCTGGCTGGTTTTTATCAGCTTAGTTGCAGCCAAGAGGACCACCAAGAGAGCTCTCAACCACTAAGTGATGGCCAGCTAATGCCAGGAGTCTTTCAGACCATACAAACATGCTTTAAGCCAGTCAGAGGGCTGTTTGACCAAAYGGGCTCTTTATTGACCTGAAGGGTCCATCTATCACTCTGAACCAKTACAGTTCAATAGCTTTCATCTGCTTCTCAGCATGTGGCTTTTACAGAAGCAGCCAATACRGCTCAGGAAGCACAATTAGCATCCAAAACGTGGCTGATTCATGTATTAGATGCAGTAGTTACAGCATTATGGCTAGTGCCTGCATACATTTGCAAGAGGACCATCTGAAAAAAACAGCCTCATTCATAACTGTCATCAGAACTTGCTTGTTTTCATGCTCCACAAACTCATCTGTAAGAATTGCATCTGTCTTTGGTGCTTGCCAAGTAGTGAATTAAAAACAGTASCTATTGCTTCTTATTGATTCAGAGCCTGGAAAGTTTCAGAAAGATTGGGTGGAAGGAGGGTATGTACCTGAGCAAAGTGAGACCAT